TTAGATCCTGACGACCTCCCCCACCCCGCGACAGCAGAATTTTGGGGGGAAAACCAGAAGGGAATTTCGGAAAAACTATTAGGAGGTTAGGGGAAAGGTATATACCCTCCCCGCTCGACGGAAAATTCTTGGCTGAAAAACTGGAAATTTTTCGGGAAAAAATGGTAGGAAGTTGGGAAAATCTAGGAAAGTGGTAGGTAGCATGGGGAGGGGGTCGTATTTGAGGATGGAATTCAGGGGGGTCGTATTTTCCAGGAAATGATCACAACGCGCTGGCGTGCCCTGATCATAACTGCGACAGAATAGGCAATTGCGCGATTCAAAGATTAGCGATGAAGCGATCACATTCACTCTCAAAACGCGCGACTGAATAGCTTGAGTATGAATGCAGTAAAAAAAACCGAAATTGTTTCCACTGCAGCAGCTACTGGAAAAGCCGCATACGTACCCTGAGAGAATGGAAAATCGAAGAAGATGTGTATCGATTGACTCCATCCAACTGGAATAACGGAGAATCGGGTGATACTTTGAAGCGTACGAGATATAGGTATGTGTCCAGTTTTTTTTTCGCGAAATTTCCGAAATTCGCAAATTCCCTTATTCCGAGATGCTCCGATTCTCTAATGTTACAAGACAGCTCGCGACCCAGCAATACCTAATAAACAGAATCTGACCATGAGAGGAGTTAGTGCCCACCTGTAAGTCTCTCTTTCAAAAGGACTTCGTCCTGCTGCAACATGCTTAGCAGCATCGCTGTAAACGCTGTAGTCGATGTCAGTGAAATTAACCTGGAAATTGTTATATGTCGGGACTACAAGTATACACCAGTAAAAAATAAACCAGAAGTGACTCACATGAAACATATAATCATGGATATTTGAATACAGCACTAATATGAAACGAGCAGCAAGTGCTACGAACAAGATCTGAAATGGGAGGCATACACTACATCCGATCACGAATCTCGTCTGTTCATCCGTACCCGTTCTCGAGTCCACGGCTGAGGCGTCCTCGATGTAGCAGGGCACATCTAGGCATGTGCTGGTCTTGAAGGGTAACCTTGAAAACCAGGTTATGAAAGAATGTTTTTGAATCGTGCTACGACACATTGAAACCAAGCATAACGAAGCATCTTGGAGCAAGAACGGCGACTGCAATACGGAATAATTAAGCTAATTAATATTAAGCAGCGCTTGAGCAGTGATCCTTACTTGAGAAAAGGCACTACACTGAATCTTGGATATTTTGCTGAATAGACGAGCACTTTTAGAAGAAAATAACGGCGTGCCATAAAAGCAAGCAAGCGCCCCGACTCTGGCACAGCACAGGAAAATGAGGATTCCTTGTGAAGTCTATTGGGGACAACAGCCCTCGCCTACGTTATTTTTTATTCTGCGAAAATGCACCGCGGACAGCTCCAATTTACTCTGTCAGAAACATCGCCAGGAAAACAGCGCAGGGCAGATCCCTAAGGACAACACGAGGATAACTTCTCAATTATCAAGGTCAATTGAGCAGTTTCTGTCTAGTAAGAGGGGAAAGAGGACAGAAGTATACCTGGAAGTATACCTGTATGGTCGAAGAATAAACTAGACCAAAATGTTAGCATATTGTGTTTATACTGCTATGCCACTCGACATTTTTAGGTGGAAATCTTTATTTTACGGCCTAACGTTTCGACTTGGTCGTCTTCTTCAGAAGGCCGTGAAACGCGTTCGAAGTTAGGAAATAACATTACCTTACTAAGCGCCAACCAACCCTAGCAGTTCCGATGGCGTGTTCGGAACTCAACCTGAAAGCCCACACAACACGAAGAGTGCACTCACCAAGCTTCCACCGTATATCCGCAGTCACATGCGGCTAGTAGTTAGTAGAGAATGGACTTACTATAGCGTCTCCTGACACGTCTAGAAGCGAGGAGACGCAAGTAGCGCTCTACTTAGAGCCCGCAATACGGTATGTATGGAGCAGAAGGTCATTTGTCACTGACGGACACTCATCTCGCTGTTCATCCCTAAGAATATCTGAATGAATCAAAAGCGCCTCTAAAGTTCCATTGCCGAAATTCTCGAGTCTCGACGCAATACGCGCCCGTACACTTGATTTCAACAGTTTGTGTGCGCGCATAGCTCCTCAGATTTATGGCTTGCCCACCGCGTATCGTGGAAATGGAATAGCAATATACAACAGAGCAAACCAACGATGGCCGAGGTTACGAAAAGATGAGAACCCTGGGCCGAATAACATTCAAATATTAGTATCCCCCTAAAAATGAAAAGGTCGTGTTATGGTGGGCCTAGTCACGCTTCCACTACCTCACAGTCCAATGTTACCAGGAATCCGCTGAGGCAAATCACTATAAATGGATCCAGCAACAGAGTGACAAAGCGTTGCATTTGTCGGTGCCTCTCCTCCTAATCGAGATCCGCTTACCGAGAAGCGCGCATGAAACCACAGTTCCGCATGAATTGACTAAGGCGAACAAGAGAAGGGAATCATATTGCCAATGCAAGCAAGCTATCCGGACAACCAAGGCCAGAGACCTATTGGGTTGAGACGGTAGGATTGCCTGACTAACGCGAAACCTGTCTGCATTCGCAGGTTCCTTCTCCATAGCCCGCTCGAGGAATGACGGATCTACGATACCCTGGATGCTAGCCGGCTTTTTTTGAGGAAAGAAGTAGCTCAAGAAAAGTTGGAAAATCGTAACTGCATATGAAGCAAGAAATTGTTAACACGGCGTTCGGCCTTGTGGAGCATTTTGCAGTTACAGTCGGCCACTATCGACGTCTCCTATACCTATAACACCTAAAACTCTGTAAAGCGTGCGCTAGCAGGCCTCCGAACATCACCTTGACATCTCTAGAGCATCACTAATGTGTGGACTGTACAGTGCAGTTCTCAGCGGACGGTGGGGCGGTCCTAAGGCCACGCTGGCGAGCGGCCCGATAGTTGCCTGTCGGTGGATGGCCGCAAAAACCTTGCCTCTGCGTCTCTTACTCTGCACTCTGCGCTCTAACACACGCCGCCGCACCGTCTACAGTCTCTTCCGCTCTAGGCTCTTACCGATCGATAATTGCTCTCGATCAGCTGATCTGCCGTATTTTCGCAGTATTTTTGCTAGATTCAGCTTGTTAAAGCTGAAATTTTCCGACTTTTGACTTCAATGTTCGAAGGTGAGTATTCTTACTGAAATTATATCACATTTTGCATGAATTTAGCATTAAAATGGGAAAGAAAAAATGAATTGGGAATTTTAGCATGGGAAAGCGAACCATTAAGGCAACTTCGAGCTTCAAAAAAGTGTCAGAGATGGTTCTCGATAATAACGAGATCACATCTGAGACACTGTTGAAAACTCGGTCAATATCATAAGATAAATGGGGATATTAAGGAAAAGTTTGGAGAAATTGCCAAAATCAGAAAGAAAAACAAGTTTCCTAGGGAATTTCATGCTAAATTCATGCAAAATGTGGAATAGTTTCAGTAAGGATACTCACCTTCGAATACTGATGTCAAAAGTCGAAAAATTTCAGCTTTAACAAGCTGAATCTAGCAAAAATACTGCGAAAATGCGGCAGGAATCAGCTGATCGAGAGCGTCAGCAATTATCGATCGGTAAGAGTCCAGAGCGGGAAGAGTGGGTAGACGGTGCCGCGGCGTGTGTTAGAGCGCAGAGTGCAGAGTAAGAGACGGAGAGGCAATGATGATAATCTCCTGAAAGTTTTCGGTTTCCCATCGACACGCAATCACCGGAACGCTCGCCAGCGTGGTCGTAGGGAACGCCCCACCGTCCGTGAAGGCAACTCAATGTAAAGCACAGCAGATAAGCGAAAAAGAACTAGATGCCCCACACAAGCCGAACAGCTGTCAAAAAGGCTTTTTTGCTCAACCTGGACCAGGTGATGGAACTTCGCCAGTCTGATGGTGACCGTGCCAAGTAGCATCACCGCTAAGAAGGATGAGCAAATCCAAACAACGTTCCTACGACAAACAACACTGAATAGTAATATGCCTACTAAGAGAAAAACCAGCAGAACGTCTCAAGGCTAAGGGAGAAGTCTCGGGCTAAGGGGCATAATCATGTCGACTGCGCGCTTATTAGATTACCCTATTTTGCTTGTTTGAGGAATATTCTGCTTCACAAAATCGATATCTACTAGAAAGAGCTCAATTTGCTCTCATTTGAGGCTTCCTTATTGTGGAAGAAAAGTTTGACCACTTAAAAAAGTATCAGGGAAAAGCTGGTCTTCGTTATTCAATGCTTTAGTACTATTCAACCATTACTACAGCAGAACCTTGTGGAAATTTCAGCAGGAACTTTGCCTTTAACTGCTTATTCAATGCTTTGACCACGAGTATACCATTGGTTTTTTGATGCTGACGCCACTGATC